CAAGCCATCACACCACGTCAAGGTGCAGTTTCGTCGTGATGGACCCGTCCGAAGGGCCTGTGATCCGATCAATTGGACACCGGTCCCCAATAGATCGTGGTTTTCTCACCACCCCCTGCCTTGCGGATCGGTCTTTGGCTAGCTGAAGGCTCCGTTTTTTAATTACTCAAGAAAATTCGCCTGCCTTGGCCTGAGCAATTTGACAGGATCGCGCTCACAAGCGAATCTTTAAGAATTAATAACGATCATTGTATTGTCATTTGTTTGGCACAGTGAACGCAGACATGTGTGAAATACAAGATGCATCGTTTCTTATTCGGTGAAGCCTGATGACGAGGAAAGACAGGCTTTTGAGTGAAAACCCTGTAGCCGTCACGTATTAGCTCTTGTAGGAAAGGAGCCAACGGTCTAAATCACAACGAAGAGTGACACCTCATCTGCCCAAGGCAGGTGAATTTTCTTGGGGAGATCACAATCGGAGCCGCCAGCTAGCTAAAACCTAACCTGCGAGGCAGCGGGTTGGTGTGGGAAAACCGCCATCCATTGCTGGCCGGTGTCCATTTCGTCGAATCGTACGCCTTTTGGACGGAGTCAAGAGTCCAAGGTGCCCAATACACCTCGATGCCCAATTGACCCGGTGAACACTGCCACAATCAAAAAGTTATGGTACGTAAGCCTCTTCTTGATTGATCTGTAATCAGTGTTTTTGGCCAAATCCCTTAGGTGAACTGTCAGTAGTTCAACCCGATCATAGTCCCGGATGCTGGTTTTTCGCCCTGACTCTTTGGTGGGAATACACCTGCGCCACGGGAAGGTAGTGAGTAGGGTTTCCTCAGGAGAGGCTGTTTGAGACATGATAATCTTTGTACAGTGAGATACAGTGTAGCGAACTTCATTGATCGTTGCCAGGTGATTTTATTCGGTTGGTCGTATAGGAGTTTTTCGAGGTGCAAGGGAAGGGTGACCAGTCACAATCCAAGACACCGGCCTCCGACTATGCGGAGGCTTTCGGATGCATAAACCGATGCCAAACTGAGTAAGTATGAGTACGGATACAGTTACAAGTTCTTACAACCTTTTGGTCCTGGTAGGTTGTAGAGTGCAGTCAATGAACAATAAATAAATTTGGTAGCCACCAAAGTCATTGAAACAGGAGGTTATAATCTGACATCCAGCAATAAACCATTGATCAGTGGATTTGTTCATGACGGTCGTTTTACGCTTCCCTTTTATGGGTCTCGGGATCAGCGCTATCAATAGGGATATTGCAAATTGTGCTCGAGCATGTATTCAGTACATCTAGCCTTCCAACAGTGAGTTTTATCGTGATGGTAGCCTCGTCGTGATGGCTATCTCATCGTGAAAGATTGCGGGTAGATCTTTCGCCTTTCACGAATAAATGGTAGATGATAATTAGACCCAGGTTAAATCCAAAACCTCGAGGTTTAATAAAATTGATCTTTATATACTCAGGAAGGTGTACGACATGATCTTTCAGGAAGAACATTTATTTGTGCTTAAGAAGCCCATGGGTAGTGGTCAAAGCGAGTTCATTCTCACCGGACCAACCGACAGTTTATGGCTGTTTTCGACCAGCATAGAAACAGGTCTTAAGAATCTTCGCTACAGTTGTTTCAAGTTCTAGGAGAACAATGAGAGAACTGAAACCAGAGTATGCACGATACTTAGCTAGCCGCATCTCATCCAACACGCTACCGGAAAAGTTTGCAAATCAGTAAAAGCGCTCACCTAGCCTTAACATGCAATCTTACCGACCGGCCGTGATGAACAGATAGATCAAACTAAGAGTATGGTGGTTTGTAGTGCTTTGTGCTGTCTTATCGGTATGTTCGGTACTAGCTAAATTTTCTCTCTAAACGTACACCCCTCCCTCTTTTCTTCAATCTCCAGTAAAGTTGGGTAGCAAACATCCTGATCCTGTGGTGGAATCAAGCTCGTTATCTAGCGTTGTTCCTCCGGAGGTGCATTACCAAATTACCTTACCGGATGAGGTTATCGATCGAGGCTGCCTATCGGCTTTACAATTGGAAGCTGTGGTGTATGCGTGTCAGCGACACGAGTGCATTCTACCTAACGGCCAACGAGCGGGATTTCTCATCGGTTAGTTCGCTATCCATATCAATTATTGTCAACTGTTTGATGTCTTTTTCATAGTGGCGGTGGGATAAAGAATAAACGTCCTGTTTTCACGATTAAGCACCTGCCGACCATCCTCAGAAACTCATACTGTCACGTACCGTCTCATGGTTGCAGGTGATGGTGCTGGCGTTGGAAAAGGACGTACGATTGCAGGAATCCTCTACGAAAACTATATTCGTCACAGAAAAAAAGCCATTTGGTTATCAGTCTCCAATGATCTCAAAGTGGACGCTGAACGAGACTTAAGGGATGTTGGTCTAGGACGGATCAAAGTCCATTCGTTAAACAAGGTGAGTGGTCTATGCGGTCCTTATGGCATTCTCATGCGGATGTGGATGGCGTTGCACAGTTCGGAATTCGGGCATTGCACAACTATCGATGACCGGTTTCGTGGTCCAACACCGTCGTCCGTTCTGGCATCAAATTTGAGCCGATGGACCCTATTGTCCTTCCCCCTTTCCAATCTTTCAACCCTCCGTGTTCAAATTAGCTTTGTGTTTTTTGATAATTGCTGTTTTTATACCGATTGGGATGCTCAAACACGTAATATAAGGTGGCCTGCGTCAACTGTCACTTACCACAGTTATATTCGTACAAAACGCCTCAAGCATATCCGGCTTGATGTGGATTATAAATTTGTTATGCGTATTAAAACTATCACTACCAAGTATGAGGCGTCAAAGATCCCAAAGTTTATTATTACAGTCCAGCTTGTCCGACCCCAAGTCGTTTCGTGCTCCAGCTCTTGTCGCTATCTCCTGATCCATTTAATGGATCGGTGAGTGAGTTATACCCATGCTACGTGAGGAAGCTGCACTTCATAATAATAAATATCCTAGATGTAAACAGTCAATCAGTATGCGAAAAGATATTGTGCTATAAAAACAAAACCATTCCCATAGTATTGGCCCCAAAGATGCCTCCCAAGGAGACTGAAGCGCCCTCGCTATTATTACGTTTTATGGTTGCATCATCGTCGCGAATGTTAGTGGAAACTCTTCTGATGTATATTGTCGGTTTCACTCAAAGTGTTATCGCTGTTTGACTAGGAAAGATTAATCAGAATAATCATGCATTATGTTATGCGTGCTGCAGTTTTCAGGTTCATACCGTTCCCAAGGGTTTCTTACCTAACCCATGCTCCGGTTGTGAATTTCCAAAGAAAACCCACCTGTCTTGGCCTAGGAAGCCTGGCAGTATTCAGCTCGGTAGCAAATCGCGAAACCTTTTTTTTTATAAAGATCATTGTACTGTGATTTGCTTGACACAGTCTGGACCCAGACGTGTATGAAATATATAATATAAACCTAGTTCGGATTTCATTTTGACCCTCATTTCCTACAAGTCTAGCCATCGCATCGCCTCTTCCGTCTGTGTTCTTCAAAGCGTTTGTTCGCAACGTGGATTTAGGTATATAGGCATGTGTGTTGCATGTAGAGTACTGGGTTCACAGCATCATTGGTCCAAACTAAATTCTCGTTCAACATTGATCTCGAGGTGACGGGAGGTGGCCACTAAGTGTTCCGGAAGTTTGTCGGAAACGGGTGGTCGACATCGTTTTTCCTGTATGAACTTGAATACAGCAACACAGTTTAGCATGTGCCGGAAGAGCTGAAAAGCCTCCGAAATAAATTGTGCGACACTGGTGCCTATGACGAATGCGAAAAGTAGACCAACGTGATACATTGTCTAACCACTCCCAGACGACGTCTTGGACGTTCTAGCTTCTTCAACAAGTCATATTTTGCGTTTTCACCTTCAGTCCCTTCCCCGTGTTTGTGCTGGTTTATCATTTTTGTTCTACATTTCAAAGCATCGCTTTGTGCCACCAAATAAGACGTTGGAAGGAAGAGTCCCAGTTCTGTCTGACATCTGCTGATGGGGTAGTCGCATGTGAAGGGTGTGTAAGGCACTTGTTTTTGTTGCCCTAGTTGACTACGGCTTCACATCATTCCCTTTCATCACAACATTTAAGCCGGGCAGTGATCGTTTAGATGAGATCAACTGTGGTCCTGCAACCATTTGGTATCGAGGAGTGTTATTCTTCGACATTCCGCAATCTGCGTTCAGGTCCGCCGACATGTTGATCAAAGTTTGTCTTGGGCGTACTCTTCGTACACTTAAAATTCACAATCGTGCGCATGCTAAATTCATCAGTACTTGCGAATCTTGCACGCTTTATTGGGCGCACCCACACGTGGCAAGTAATTAATGTGCAACGTTGCGTTTTATGTTATGTACAACGCAGAGGAACCACCGGAATACCGAAAAACTAATCTCAAAGGTTTCTTTACATGCTAGAATGAAATAACCTGTTTGCTGTTACTAACTGATGCCATTTAGGATCTTAGATTACGAATTCAGTACGAGCGCTGGTAGTGGGGGAAATTAAACGAAACATACCTAATTGCATGGCAGGACAGTGTCTTGATATTTAGCTAATTTCATTGAAGATGAAAAATGATGTGTTTTTCATGAACTGCGATATGAAGGGTGTGCATGGGGATCATTGTTGCTATGGTTCGAATTAGACAATTTAGCATCCATTTTATGGGGTGTTTTTAGGTGATTTGATGAACTCAGTTTTTCATTTTAATATTGCTTTTGGTTTAGTCGCTGTCACCGACGTGCTTTGAACCCGTGGTCCGAGGTTCGACCCCCGCCACCGCCACTCAACTTTAGTGATGAGCACCTTTGTCGTCGTCCGGTTCAATACTACGCTTACCTAGAGGAACTTTATTTGGTTTGCCACTTCAAGTCCAGGGGCTTAGGTTACCGGTTTCTATCACTAAATAGCAGGTATTCGTGACTCGGGGTTTACCCCGTCTGTTCATCACACCGAAGTGTGTAATAAAAAGTGAATATGCTTAACTGGTCTATAATTACTGATTGCATTGCGTCGAAGTCAGTATGTTGCGATCAATTAAATTACTTTATCCATTAAAAAATGTACAGACCGAAATTCCTACGCACACGGAGTGCGCTTTTTTCACTTCGGAATATTTCACGGTAGACAATGCAGCTCTTCGCTCTCACAAAGACTCCTGTATTGTGAAGTTTGACTTTGAGCCGCAAAACGTGAGGCCTGATTGAGGCTAATCTATCATTTTCTACGGCTTTGTCGTTTTATTCTTTCTCGTTGTCTGGTTCAGATGAAATGAAATAGATGAGTTAGTGTTATTAAAATTCAGAAGCGCGGCAACGGAGAACTTGTCGTAAAATTAGTTTATATTAGCTAATCGGGTATGTATTCTGTTTGTTTGTCTATTGTGTAACACAGTGTCCTGGTGCGATTGTTGTTTCAGGCCGAAGGAGGCTTCGTTGTAATTAACGAGGTGCAAACAAGCAATGAGATAGTGATTTGAGGATGCAGGCAAATTACCTATTGAGGTACTATCAACGTTTGTACAATCAAGCGCGCCGTAAGTTGACGGGTTCCATTTATCGTGGCAATTTCTGAACAGCAGCGTTATTCGGTTCGCCGCTTAATTTAGTTTACTTGACTTTGAGATATCTGAGGCTCAGAACCTGGTTACTCTTATCATAATAAGCCTCGCTTTCTAGCTGCTTCTGTCGTGTGATCTCTATCTTACGCTAACAACGTACAAATTCAAACGACCGCTAAACGCCCAGTCGGGTTCTTCGAAACTATAAGGAGCATACAGTTCTCGAACGAGGTCTTTCCATGGGAAGTAAGAAGCTCTACCAGGTTGTCTCGTAAAGAACAAATCCTGCAGCTAATCATGCGGTCGAAAACACTCCAGGATGATCTAGCTAGCTTTCATGCTGATGATAATGGTTCATTATTCCGTTGTTTATCATTCGCGTGAAAAGCCCTAAAATCAACGCATTGTTATATGGATTCACTGACTATGGGACGATTCGAGTTTCGTATATAAATTTTGTATACCCCCACACTAAAATTAGTCTATCCGACTTAGTTTGTCATACACACCAACACCATATGGCACCCACTTCCTAGTGTCAATTCAGTAAAGCGGGTTACCAAGGCTAAGTTCTAAACTGTGGACCAGATTGTCGATCTGTATTGACTGAGTTATTGTAGTGTTTTATCGTGTTGCGGTTGTTTCCTTGATTCGCCGATATCAAAGCTTGGTGTTACGTTCTGGCATAGCAATAATGAGTGTTTATTTTAATACGAGATGGCCAACCTGTTTCCCCATATCAGTGGTAGCACACCACACTCTTGAACTGAGCTCTAACTGAATCGCTACTCGCTATCAGGTTCATTTGGGTAGTCTATACACGCGTGATTTGCAATGACAAGTACTGGTTGTCGCACCTGGAATGATGAGTAACACTTTATCCTGACTTCAATTTAAGACTCGTCGAATTCGCCAAATGTGGTTATACCAGGTCGTTGCATTTTTCCATCCATTGAAACCTTCATATTAACCAGAAAGTTTAACGATACAATGCCGTCGACGTCGATGTACTCCGTCATCCCCATGCTCATGTGCACGCATGGTTATGATTGCCTGTTTTTAATTGGTTTCGAAATATGAAAACTAATTGTGGTTGGTCGACCGATGTAAGTTGGTGTCGCTGCCATGCCTTGACCCGCCCTTGAGTTCTGGGGTTCGAACCCTGCCACTGATCAAGTCTTGGTGGTAGGCAGCTTTGTTCTCGTCCGGTTCAGTACCGTGCCTAAGGTGGTTTGCTTTTCTGAGTCCCAGGGCTTGAGTTTTTGACTATCATGAGTGAAGAATGGGTCCCCATAACTACGGGATTCGCTCCTTCCGTTGTTCCTCGCACAGTCATGTGTCATAAAAAATCCATGTTCAGCTGATAACTCGAGAATAAACGTCGAGGGTTGAGAAAGCTGCGTATCTCTTTTCCCTCACATAGATCCAACCGATCCTACATCAGAGTTACTGAAAGAAGTGAAGAGTTTGACAAAGAAACCATCAAAAGTAATCATTGTGTTGGTGATCTATAACAACTGAGATAGTCTGAAGACGCTTGTTTTAAGTCGCGTGGTGTAATCCTACTCCACTTATTCCTCACGATGACTCAGTTCATCTTCCCGTTCTGTCTAATGAATTTAATTATCTCTTGATTTGGGCCAGGTATCAAGGCCCGGTAAACTTCAAGTGCAGTGAAATCTATGCTGCTTACCAACATGCGCAATAAGATTTTTGTCGTGATCGCATTACCGCTCAACTGGGTTAACGACAGTGTGGCATGAAAATGTTGCGATTTTGACAGCAATAGGCAGATTTCGGATCACCCTTCCATTGTGCGAAAATCATAACGCAGTGGTTTTCAACTCTACCCATCTCTGTCGGTGTCTTCTACCGGACCGGCAAGACTGAAATCCGTACGGATATGAGACGCACTGAAGCTGATGGGATGTTAAAAGCGAGCGACGTTCACTTTGGGGTTCATATTCTAGCATTGGATGTCCTAGATCGCAACGGCAGAACTGAAAAATAACTATAGTTCAAAGTGAATAATGCATTGCATAAACGGACTTTTCTACCCCATTGTCAAAGCAATCGATCTTATATTATGTGACGTTAGCGGTTAGATTGCTAAATTTGATGTGTACGGTACCCTGAGGTTAGCTTTCTATTCCCGCCCTTAAAAATCAGCCCAGTCCCTATGCTTCTTATACACGCTCATTAACCTGATATGCATAATGAGTTTGGTAGCGATCAGTGAAGTTCGCTTCACTGTGTTTCACTGTAGAATCATGATGATATTATCGAGACCTAGGTTGTACTTGTATTCGAGCTTAGTGATCTCACTCACCACGTCTTTACTCACGCTAAGCAACAAGGAAGACTGGACGGATAGGAATAGTTCTAGGTAGCAGTACTGGAAGTGTTCCATTGGCTACTCCCTGCGAACACTTGATAACTCCATTTTATCTGTGTTCGGCAGAAGAACAAATTGCTGCTAGTTCAGTTTTTTTCTTTCTATAATCGCCTTTCCGATGAAGTATTTATTCTAGTAAGATCAGTTAGACCAGATCCCCAAACATGCACTTATTTAAAACAACGTGAATTTATCTACTTTACACCGACTTATGAACAAGCATGATGAAGAAGGGAGAGTTGGACTGAAATCAGGGACATAATGGTGGCGGTTTGCTAAGAAAGATAATATTTTTGTTTCATCATGCAATTTTTGAAATTTTCAAATTAATCATACTGAGAGCAAACAGGTTTTCAGTGGTCATTACAAATTAATGTAGGATATTCTTCAAATTTTTAGCAATAATATCATTGCTGTGATTTTTACTGCGGTGTTCGTAGTCCCTTTACCTCAGCAATCAGGACGCTTTCGTGTCACGGATAAAATCATCAGTGTTCTATTTTTCAACACATGTCCGTTTCTGTCATTCGGTATCGCTTTTCATTGAATGAGGCTCTTCTTTAAATCATGCTCCCCGCATTAACCATTCTGAGTTTAAGTAGGGTTTAATTTATTGTTTTGTGTATCTGTTTATATTTCTCTTCGCTTCAATCTTGTCTGGGTTTTTCAGTTTAAATACGCACGCATCTCAGGGAAAGCCAACGGACGTGTGAAGAAAGGCGTCATATTCTCCACATACTCCTCGCTGATTGGAGAGAGTCAAGGCAGCGCCAAAGCAAAATACAAAACACGATTGAAGCAGTTGGTGCATTGGTGTGGGAAGAAGTTTGATGGTTTGGTGAGTTATTCATGATAAAGGATAGATAAGTGTTCTTTACTCAGAAAATGACTGTGTTGCACGAACCTTTCCTTTATTGCTTCATCACTACTTTCTTTGCTATTTTTGGAACACTGAGACACGACAACACACCATTGTTGCTCACCGATTGGGTCAAATTGCGCACAGAAGAATGTTAATTGTTTCTTTGATACCGATTGCAGTACACCTGAAATGAAGGATGAATTCTACAAGGATCTCTCTCAACTACTCCAAAGTGCTGGGTCAACGAACGTCGTAGTAGTCGCCGGAGACTTCAATGCTCAGGTTGGATCCCTGGACGAATCAGAAAGGCTTCTTGGCTGACCAATTGCAATCCCAGCCAACCCGACAGACAACGGAGATCGCCTACTTCAACTCTGCGCGGGCCACTGATTGTTCCTGTCAAACACGAACTTCTCGCACAAGAAACGTCATCGTCTTACATGGAAACCGCCAACCTCTTCACTGCAGTGGACCCAAATCGACCACACTGCCATCAGTTACCGCTGGAGGGCATCAATTCAAGACTGCCGCTCTTAATGGTCAACAGCTGTGGATACAAACCACGCCCTGTTACGAGCCAAGTTCTCCTTACGCCTGGCAAACAACCGCAAAAAAGCCACCGGCAACGGATACCTGCGATACAGTGTCAGTGATTCATACAAATCGGCATTCGAAGCGAAGCTCCGATCGCCTGTCAGTTCAACCACCAACCGAAGGACTCAATGAACACTGGAGGCAAATCAAGGAAGCTATGCAGATATCGATAAAAACAACGTCGGACCCCGCCTCAAGCTCAAAACACAAACGATGGATTTCGTCGACCTCGGTTGTCCTGCTGGACGCCCGCTGAACCCTTCCCCCGGATGCCACATACGACACAGCGCGCCAATCCCCTAAACGCCAGCTCATCGAGAGTCTGAGGAATGACCGCGAGAAGTGGTGGGTAGAAAAGTGTAAAGAGATGGAGAAAGCTGCGGCTATTGGTAATAGTCGTAACCTTTTCCATCTAATTAGGAATACGAGTCCTAGGAAAATAGTCGTAAGTGAGGTAATTGAGGAATCCGATGGCCCACTGATTCACGATCAGCAACGCCGTCTTGACCATTGGGCTGAACATTTCAAGGCTCAGTTCAACTGGCCCCCATCGACATGTTATCTTTCACTTTCCGCCTCGACTGAACAAATACTCCCAGTTGATGCTAGTCCATCTGAAATGGAGGTATCTCGGGAAATAAGTTATCTCAAAAGGCATAAGGCCTTTGGCCCAGCTGGGCTGTTCCCATCAGCGTTCAACGATGGAGGCTCAGCGTTAGTCTTGCAGTTGACAAAACTCCTGGGTTCAATATGGGAAAGGGAAGAGGTTCCAGCTGAATGGTGAGTCGGTAATCGTACCGATTTACAAGAAAGGTGACAGATCCTCCCGTGAAAACCATCGAGGAATTAGTTTAATCAAAATCGTCTCTAAACTTCTCGCTGGCATCATACTACGCAGATTGTCTGCCGCACGTGAACGGTGCACGCGTGAGAACCGGGCTGGTTTTAAACCCGGTCGAGGTTGTATCGACCACATCTTCGCTTTGCGCCAAATTCTGGAGCACCGGCATTCTTTTCGTAGACCCACCATCTCTGTCTTCCTAGATCTGAAAGCGGCTTTCGACTCAGTCGACCGCTCTAAACTCTGGTGTTGCCTTTCCGGAAGGGTGTACCCGAAACATTCATTTCAATAAAACCATTCCTTTACAATAATAGCACCCGAGTTCACCACGGAAAGTGGTGTTCGACAGGACTGCCCTCTCTCTCCGCTTCTATTCAACTTTGTTATAGATCTGATTATGGAAACAGCCCTATCCTCGTGCCAGGATAGTGGCATCGATTTACTCCCAGGTGGCAGGCTGTCTGATCTAGAGTAAGCAGGTGACATTGTGCTGCTAAGTGAAGATCCAAGTAAGTTGTAAGCTTTTCTGAATAGTTTCAGTGCTAGTGTGTCCATGTTCGGTATGCGTTTTGCACCTTCAAAGTGTAAAGTGCTACTACAAGATTGGGTTGGTTCAGCACCCAGTCTTAACCCAACTGGGGAAGTAGTAGAGGAAGTGGACAAATTCTGCTATCTGGGCAGTTACATCTCACCTGGCGGACGCATCACGGATGAAGTGTCAGCTTGCATACAGAAGGCTCGGTTGGCATTTGCCAACTTGAGACATCTGTGGCAGCGTCGCTGTTTGAGGAGGGTCGAGTGTATGCCGCGACAGTTCGGCCAGTTCTGCTATACGGTGCAGAAACTTGGCCATTAA